TCCAATGAATTTAACAAGCGTTCATATTCATCGGAGGTGTAAAATTGTGCATAGACCCGGAAACGATCTCTAAACTCCTTCTGCTCTTTTGTTAACCCTGGATGCTGAGCATAGTTGCGATTACGAAAGAAATTTGCTACAAGTTGATAGTCGCGAACCAAGCGCTTGCGACGAACACGTTCTCTAAGTCGTCTTGTATACAGATCGACGTGTGACAGTTTAAGTAAATAATCCGCTTCTGTGTCATCGGCATTCAATGACATCTTCGAAATTAATTGTTCTGCCGTAAAATCATATTCCCGTTCAAAACTGTCACGATTTGGCATGTATCCTAACTGAGCTGCTTCTTCCTGTGTAATGTCCAATGGCGGTAATCGTTGCAGAGCTAATGCGCCTAATGGTCCATTATCGTCACTTGTGTGGTCGATTAATGTTGGACGTTGAGCCTGCGCTGGAGTCCAAGTATGGCGTCCAATTGTACCATTTACAAATTTATTGACGTATTCTTCTTTGGCGTCCTCAGCTGATTTGGTCTCAATGTGCCTACTGATGTCTTCCCAATTGCCAAAACCGTACTGCTCAATAGCATCAAGTAAGCGTATTTCTTCCCTTGCAGTCCAGGCACCTTTACCCCGGAACACCGATAAAATCGCCGTCCCCGTATCCATGAACTGATATGCATGACTGTTTAAATGAGAGCCAATCTCTGCTCCCGCTGCAAAACACTAATAAAGGTAAACACTTAAAAAGCTTCATATATATCGTGACATTTAAGAGAACCCTGCGAAGTTCTCTTAAAAATATGACGCGTCATAGTCGTCGCTCATTTATTTGTACCCCAATAAAAAAGCATACATAAAAAATGAAATGACAGTAGCCTTACCTGCAGGCATAAATCAAAGTTTTCGCATTCAGCACAATGCACACGTATTCCCTGAATATCATCTTGGCAATTTGTACAATTATATTTGGTGAATAAATCTGCAATGGTAGTCATTTTGCAATGTTATATAAATATAAAAAACGATGAAACAAATACTCAATAAAGTTAACCATTTAACTTTCTGTTTATCTGAATATGCATTAAATAAATGATATGTTTTTTTTATAAAATCTATTATATAGGTGGTCATAAAATTAGAACATTACTTTTTTGGTTTTTTGTATGAAAATAATGTCAAATTACATGAAGGGCTAAGCAGAATGCTCGCGTTGAGCCATCCGTCGCGTTATATGTTATCGAAAATACAACAACCACAAGGAAACGATATGCGTTTGTGTTATCGTTTCCTTGTGGTTGTTGTATTCTGCATATTGTTGCATTCTTAGCCCTTATAGCCTAGACAGACGACAGCCTTAATTTGAATTAACAGCCTTAATTCAAATTAACTTGAACATTATCCTCAATTTTATGTGTTGTAAATGCACAAAATGAAACTGAATTTATACTGAATTAAGCAATTTCAATATGGCAATCCTGTAGAAAATAAATTGATTATTGTCAAATTTGTTTACGTTTATGAAAATAAAAATTAGAAATAAAGGCAAAATACAACATTCCCTCGAGCTGGGCGCTGTTTTATCATCATTACAGCTGTTATTCGCCCTGTCTGTCGTGTATCGTTTTCATAAAGATGTAATCCTAAAAGATATTGTAAAAAATGTCAATATTTTCTTCCTACACACAGACAAACAATAGTTTTGAAACAAAAAAACTGGCTCATAAATGCAGAAACACTCGTCTGTCAGGGGTAAATATTAATTCAAATTAAGAACTATTTAATGCAAATTAAGGCTGTCGTCTGTCTTTGGTATTAAAGGGCCAAACAGAATGTTCGCGTTGAGCGTTTTTTGTTATCGCGTTAACGCACGCAAAAAGTTAAAATATATTTAACTCCGAAGCGCAGCGCACAACAACATCGAGTGTTTGTGTTATCGTTTTCTTGTGGTTGTTGTATTTTCGATAACACATAACGCCACGGATGGCTCAACGCGAGCATTCTGCTTAGCTAAGCAAAAAGTTAGCGTTGCGCGTTTTTTCTTAAAGGGCTAAACAGAATGTTCGCGCTGAGCGTTTTTTGTTATCGCGTTAACGCACGCAAAAAGTTAAAATATATTTAACTCCGAAGCGCAGCGCACATCTACTTCGAGCGTTTGTGTTATCGTTTCTTTGTGGTTGTTGTATTTTCGATAACACATAACGCAACGGATGTCTCAACGTGAGCATTCTGTTTAGCCCTTAAGGGTTAAGCAGGTGGATATATTTATTAAAATTATGAAAACTGAATTTTGTCAAAAGTAAAATTATGATAAAATTGAAATCATATGCCTGCATGAGACTACCTTGTGTAATTATGCCATGAATCATAACATTTATGCTAATTCTATGGTCAGACCCCTTTATCTGTGGCCTTTAACGACTAGAAAAAATAAAGTTTTTTACATATATATATATATATATATATATTGTATTTCGCGATTAAAACGTAGACTGTAAGAGAAAAATAAGGCATTAATTCGCCAGTCGGTTAAAATTATGAATAAACCTTATTATTTGGGAACACAATTATAAAAATAGTCAGAGATCAGAATTACTCAAAAAATTAATACCTATTCGATTTTAGAAAGAAATTATTACTGTTTATATATTTTTGCTTTTTCTTATATATACACGGAATAGCCATTTTTAGAATTGACAATAACAAAGACATTTGGTCTGTTCCCGTACTGCGAGAATATACTCGATTTTACTATTTTCTTCGATATCATAAAGGAAAATTCGTTATCGTAGTGAAAAGTTGTACATTCTTGAAGTACGGGAGCAAACCAATTATTAACACTCTTTGTAATAACGAAATGTCGTTTAAATCTGCTATTTCTGATAACTCTTTCGTATAAGTTACCATTAAACTGTACATTACAACGTAGACAAAGAGGAAGAAATTCAGATGTATATGTAAAAATATGTGTGTGTTTGTGGAACAGTTTATCGATTTTTAATAACAAAAATAAAATAATAATTTTAACTCGGAATATTTTTAATCGGAATTTAGGAATAATCCAACATATTCTTTTGTTCAAAAATTCAATATCACTAACTCTTTCAAAAAACTATTATAAATTATGAAATCTTCCAAGCAACGAATGACAAGTCTCGCAGAAGATATCGGACTGCCATACCGAGCAAGACTTCACAATCTATTTCTTCAAATCGAGAAAGAGTTTGAACTTCTGTATTTGGAAAATCTAAGCTGTAAGAAGAGTAATTTTTAAGTATTAAATGTACAACAAATATTCTTTGATTCTTAGTGCAAGAAAAACTAGATGGATACACCAACAAAGATTCACTGCAATCGTGTGAGAGATCCACTTCAACAAATCCGAGTGGAACCAATCCGTCCTCAACTATTCCACAAGCTGCCGCAGTTGCTGGCCATGAAGAAGTCGATACGACGGGTGGCGGTCCTGTTGTATCAGGCAGTAAAAGCTTCAAGTCAAAATTTACATCGAGTGGTGGAAAAGTTAAGGCCAGTCATAAGATTAAGGCTCAGACCAGTCGTATTGTATCTAGCTTTAAAGCGCAGTCGGTAGTAAGTAGTACAGTCATGAGGGAATTCTGTGGACATAAAGATGGTGTATGGCAAGTAGCAGCCAAGTTGGGTCAGCCAATTATTGGGACAGCTTCGGCAGATCATACAGCTTGTATATGGGCAATCGAGAGTGGTCGATGTCTTCTACAGTATACGGGTCATGTGGGTTCCGTTAATTCAGTAAAATTTCATCATAATCGGGACTTGGTCCTAACTGGTAGTGGAGACGGCACGGCCCATATTTGGCAAGCTGCAGTTAATTGGGATGTTTCAAAGTAAGTAACAGATATCTATTAAGCATTCCACGCTAATCAATTTTATGCAACATTCCATGATGTTGTGATAATATATTTTTAAGAAAGGGGCACTCGTCCGAGGAAGAACTCGACGACAGCGATGAACAAGTTGAAGATCGCGATCGTGTTGACACCTTACGAACACCACTTTGTGAATTTCAAGGTCCAGGAGGTCATTTGTCGGTAGTGGTCGCTGCAGATTGGCTAACCAATATGGATCAAATAATTACAGGAAGCTGGGATCGCACCGCTATTCTATGGGATGTGGAGACTAGAGAACCAATACAACCCCTGATGGGCCATGATCACGAGTTAACACACGTGTCGGCTCATCCAACACAAAGACTAGTTGTGACTGCGTCTCGAGACTCCACATTCAGACTATGGGATTTCAGAGATCCGATTCCAGGTGTTTCAGTATTTCAAGGCCACACTGAGTATGTAATAGGATTACGTATTACGAAGTCATTCATGAACATAACTTTAATATTTCGAAACATTGTAGAAGCGTTACATCCACAGTATTAACCAAAGATGACAAAGTAGTGTCAGGTTCAGATGACCGCACTGTTAAAGTGTGGGAATTGCGGAACATGCGCTCTGCTTTAGCTACCATACGAACGGATTCGTCCGTAAATAGACTCGCAGTATCTAATGGTGGTATTATAGCGATTCCCCATGATAACCGGCAAATTCGCCTATTCGATTTGAATGGACAGAGAGTTGCTCGTTTGCCTCGAACTAGTCGACAAGTGAGTTTTTATTTTCAGCTGGCGCATTGAGAATTTCTCAATAAAAATTTTATTTTTTCAGGGTCACAGACGTATGGTTTCATCCGTGGCTTGGGCAGAAGAACCGCTATTAAATTGTGATCTATTTTCTTGTGGATTTGATCGTCGAGTTTTTGGCTGGTCCATTATTTTACCAAAAGATAATTAAAATAATCTCACAGAAAAGAAACTACCTATCATTGACATTAAAATGTATAATTGTTTGTTAATTAAAGTTAGTTGTAAAGCTATCCTGTATTATAAAATATGTTTTTGAAAAGAAGGCAAATACCAAAATAATTGAATGAAAATTCTGAATAATCCCTTCCATGTAAAACTAAAGCAAAATTCCGTCGTTTGAAAAAAAAATTAAACGTATTCATATAAATATTTCTTATGTCGACGTAAAAAGCTGGAAACTGTTTTTGAATGTAGTACAGTGGTTATTTTGGAAAATGCAATAAATATACACACCCATGTGTATTTAGATTTTATGTTTCCTTTCACTTTTGACTGTGGTTACTGCAGCTACCCAATAATCGACATTTATTTTAAGCACCAAATTATATTAGGTTGGAGAAAAAGATCGACATTTTCGACGAGGTGCATCTTTAACATCAAAAATCCTGAACGGAATCTACGAAACCAAAATTGCACATAATTGGCTGTTACAGTATCCGAACCGTAAACACCATTCACAATTTTAGCCGCTTTGCATGAATTTTCTCCTTTGCCAAAGAAAAGCTGTAAAATGTACCATTTTTAACAGCCTGTAACTCACAACTGAATGCACCAAACAAAAAACAACAAAATAAATTGGCTCATTCACTCCAATCATGAATACCTGAAAGGAATTGGATCGTTAAAGAAATATTTTTCTCGCGAATTGGATCCTCTGATCATGAATGACTTCACATAAAATATATGTAAATATGGCATCACCAATGATCTATTTTGGCACCTTCTTGTTCTTTTTCTTTAAACAATGGAATAAAACAAAAGTGAACATATAGGGTAAGTGCATCAATAGTCGGCACTTTAAGAATTTTCGCTTTTTAAACGTTTCACCATTCCAAGTGCATCTTTTCCACGATACCGTATTCAGGTTCATCTATTTCGAAATTTTGTTTACTTCCCGATGGAATACAAATTTGTTTAATTAATTTGTATTAAAGTAGATTAAATTAATAATTGTGTAAAAAAACGCCTATGTACCAATAGTCGGCACTTTTTTCCAATTGTCGGCATGTTATGTTCCAATAGTCGGCATGTCGCATTTTAGTTAAACAAAAAATATATATTTAATCGATTTTCTGCTATTTGCAATAATAAATTATTACTATGGAACGTTTCCATCAGTGTTGTATTGAAAAATTATAAAAATATAATTTATTAAAATATTACAATTATAAAACATGGTGCCGACTCTGGGAACCAGTTATCCAATTCCTGGCATGGCTAAATAAGGCATTTCAGAGGTTAAAAAACGGATTCGATTTTATCAGAATATATTGCATATTGGAGATCCCATACAACAGAACCTTATTCTAAAATAGGTCTAACAAGAGACGTAAATAGTTGTTTCGTTACATATGGATCCGAGAATTCTTCGGACCACCCTTTTATAAATCCTAAGACACCATAGGCTTTATTTACCATAGATATAACATGATTGTTAAAATTTAATTTTGGATCCATTAGAATACCCAGATCAAGGAAAGAATCTACAGTTGATAAAACGGAACCATAAATATAGTGATGTCTTATCGAAGAAGAATTTCTATAAAAACACATATGTTTACATTTATTTAAATTCAAGTCCATACAATTTAGGCTGCACCATTGAAATAGGCTATTTAAATCCTGCTGGAGTAAATCAGCTTGCTTTTCAGTATGATAGGTAATGAACAACTTGACATCATCTGTATACATTAACAATTTGGAATGCGATACAGAAATTGGCAAATCATTTACAAACAATAGAAACAGAATCGGGCCTAGGTGACTTCCTTGCGGAACACCTGATGGAACATTGATCGATTTTGAAAAACATCCCACAAACAATACTAGCTGTGTACTATTTTATAAGTAAGATGAAATCCAATTTACCAAATTTATACTAAAGCCAATATGATTTAATTTATAATGTAGAAGTTCATGGTTAACCCTATCAAAAGCTTTACTAATGTCTGTATAAATTGTATCAGTTTGTTTACGTTGAACAAATCCCTTTATCACAGTAGAAGTAAAGTGTATAAGATTGGTAATAGTTGAAAGACCACTACGAAAACCATGTTGATATGGACTTAACAAGGGTTGAATTCTGTGTGAAATTACGGTAGTAATAAACCTTTCGGACAATTTTGGAATAGCACTTAATTTTGCAATTCCTCTATAATTCGAGACATTTGTTAGACTACCAGACTTCTGTAAGGGTATTATATAAGACTTCTTCCAACAAGTAGGAACATAATCATATTTAAGGGAATAATTAAATAATAACGTTAGAGGTAATGCTAATGTATCTGAACAATTCTTTATAATTATGCTGGGTATACCATCAGGGCCTGGACATTTAATAGGTTTTAAACTACGTAGATAGAGACCTCTCGACTTTGTAAGAGAGCAAAAATATTTGATCTATCTTTGATAGTTCATAAGGATATGGGTCTTTAACCTGATAAGTAGTATTAGAATAAGTCGTGGCAAAAAAATTGCAAAACATTCTGCAATTTCGAAGTTTTTCGAAAATTCTTGGTTATTGTATTTTAAAATTGTAGGCTTAGAAGAAACTTTTCTTTTTAGATTAACAAATTTATAAAATGATTTTGGATTGGATTTAAAATTATCCTTAATCTTGTTAAGATAAAGATTATACAACCTTCGGGATTCTATTGTATATTTTGATCTAGCAACAGAATAGTTAGCATAGTCTAAAGAGGATCCTGATTTTTTATATTTTTTAAAAAGTTTATTTTTTGAGTTTTTTATACTTGACAATTCGCGTGTATTCCATGGATGTCTATCAGAGCTTCTAGTTCTAACAGTAGGAACACATTCAGAAATACAGTCGACTCCGCTTAACTGAAACGGAAAAAAATCTGGACGTATGTTTCAGTTATCCGATGTTTTCACTTAAGCGGAGTTCGGTTAACTGAAAATATTTTCAGTTATCCGAACTTATCATAAGCGAAATTTTTTTCAATTTTAAGAATTTCAATAATTCATATTTTATATCGAATTCGTAGTTCTAGAATTTTTTGAAAATATACGATAGAAATTGAAACTGGTTGACATGTTCACAACTTAAAGGTTTTTTATTATGAACTGTATTTTTTATGCGTAAGGTTTCATACTAGCCTATTAAGTCTTTTTAATAGCTCACTTGCCTGTAATATGGGGTTCCAAAATTTGTTCATTATAGATTCACATATTTACATCGTTTCTATTTAAAATCTGGGTATCATCTAGAAGACCTTAATAATAACTTAGGGTAGTTAAAAGTGGACGACCTCCTCGAAATTGTTTTAATGATATGGGACCTCGTTTTGACATTTCCTCTATGAACGGTACATTCTGTAAGATATTTTGGTACATCTTTGTTACTTCTATATAAAATATAGAAATGCAGAACTGAATTTTTATCGAATTTTCCAAATGGGTTTAAAAGTTTGACCGGACGAACTTAACGTTACATACGTCGGAAAAAATCATGAATTGCAGAAAAATATCTGCTAGTGCGGGCTTCGAAGATGTGTATTTTTCAATGCTAAATATTATGTCATTATCCTTCATTCTCACGATTTTCAGTAATGCGGAGTGATTTAAAAGGAAATTGCAATATTTGAATCCAAAAGCTATTTCAGTTATCCGATATTTTCCGTTATGCGAAATTTCACTTATGCGGTTTAAATTGTGAGCGATTAACCTAAAATGTAATGGTGCAGGAAATCAATTTCACTTATCCGATATTTTTCAGTTAAGCGACTTACAGTAAAGCGGAGTCGACTGTAAATTTGTTTAGAGTAACATAAAATGTATCTATTGTAAACTCGAGATCAATAGGACTCTTACAAAGGCATATAGAGGTCCAATTTACAGATGAGATAAGTGAGTTGAGTTTGCAAAAAGTTCGATTTTTATAGTTAAAAGTAGTTTTTAAGAGTTTAACGAATTGTCAGAAATTAAATAATCATGTATCATGGATATATAGCATTTCCACATTAAATGAACCCTTTTCCAAATTAAATGAAACCTTTTCCAAATTAAATGAAACCTTTTCCAAATTAAATGAAACCTTTTCCAAATTAAATGAAACCTTTTCCAAATTAAATGAACCCTTTTCCAAATTAAATGAAACCTTTTCCAAATTAAATGAAACCTTTTCCACTTGAAATGAAACCTTTTACAAATTAAATGAAACCTTTATTCTTATCTAAGGAAATCTAATATTTGCACTAATTTTAAACCAATATTTGAAAATTAAATCAAAGAATATTAACAAATATAGTTGTATGGCTATGTAATTAACATAAATATTCTTTAATTCGGTGTGATTTCATTTAATATCTTTACTACATAAAACTAAATAAATAGTAATACAAACTGGGGTATTTCCTGAAATTTTAATAAATGCGAAATACATATTTGACTTAATAAATTGTTGATGATAAGATAACTGCTTATCTTAATGAAGGGGTTCCCGACTTGCAGCTTGTGGGATTTTCAAAACCATGTGCATAACGTAGTTAGAACAATCTTGCCGAGTAAGCTTTTGAATACTTCGCTCGATTACATCAACAATGTTATGTTCCATTGAAACGACACACAGCTCAGCTCTTGCACATAATTTTATTTTTGAAAATGCATTTTCGATTGGATTTAGCATTGGAGAATAAGGCGGTAAGAATTTAAGGTTGCATCTTTTGGATTCGATCAAATTTTTTATGTCATGTCGCTTGTGTATTTGAGCGTTATTTTCCAACTCTGGATTGATTTTCTCAAACAAAAATTTCTATAAATAATTTAAATCTGTCTGCATTGCCACTGGAATTAGAAACGATTGTGTGATGTACAACTCCGGCGTTGTTTATTGCTGCAATTATAGTGACATTACGACCTCTGACCGTAGGCAACACAATGTGTGCTCTTGTTCCTTGTCTTGGACGGG